AATATTTGTATATGTATGTTCAATTAACAAAACAGTAATTATATAGTTGAACGATTTAATTAACAACTTTTGTTCTCAGTGTAGAAACTGACATTGTATTCTGCGAAAAAGAAAAAATTACGGGAAATAATTCTCACAACTCCCTATTCGACGCTTGGAAAGAATTATTTTTCTCGAACTGTATAACAGACTTTTTCCTAAAACGAATAGCGCGAGGTGTATCCTTATACAGAGCATATCGATTATCGATTTCGGATAACTGCTTGCTTCGATAACGTTAATTTTCCCAACGTGACGAGCACATCTCGCGGTCATTAGTCGCAGGAAAACGTGACGAAAAATCGAATCCACGAGAGTAATTGCTAAGCATCAATTATTAAAAGGCACGACGATACGTTCTACATGGAAATATCGAACCGGTCACAATTATATGTAGGATACCGATATATACGTATATATATTCTCACATACGTATGTTACGGCAACTCGAGTATTTTCCCGGTTATCCACTCTCGACCCATGGTATTATATATATATATATATATATACATGGGAATTGCCCTATACATGTATATGAATTATATTCAAGAGCAAAAACGAAGGGCGAGATGGGAAGAGGAAAACTCGGGCTTGGGAAAAACACGTCAGCAAGAAAGGCCGCAAAAACTTACGAGAGACGAGTACATAGCGAGTTGCTCTGTTAATAACTGCTGCCTGCATCTGCAATCTTTTCGAGACGAACGTTAATCTTCTTACTCTAATCATTCACATTCCTGTCAATGCTTTTCGTATGCAAATCGTACATACGTTGCAAGTATGTTGCGGCATTTCTCTTGTTAAGTATATGTCTATCTCCGTGAAAATTATTCTCCGGCCGTTGTACAGGATGTTCTAAGATCTGTATCAGAGAATCCTTACAGCATCATTCTCGAGATTATTACTTAATTATTCAATTAATCTTTTAAAAGTTGACAATAAAATAACAAAAAATGAAGAATTAAATAATAATTATGTAAGGTTCTCAATAAAATTAAATTCCTAAATAATTCTGGGCAACTATAAGAACCGATGCAGGATGATGGGTGCCAAATAAACATTTTTCCTAAGGTGAGTCTTCCAAATTTTATTTTAAACGTTTCGGTCCTAGGAATTGGATCATTTTTGCTAACACTAGAGATAGACATAATTAAGGTGGATGCAGTTCATATTACTAATTATGTCTAGCTCTAGTGTTGCCGAAGATGGTCCAATTTCTAGTAAGAAACATAATTAGTAAGGTACATAATTAATAATGTAAACTGTATCCACCCTAATTATGTCTATCTCTAGTGTTATTGAAGATAGTCCAATTCCTAAGACCGAAACGTTTACAATAAAATTTGAAAGACTCACCTTAGGAAAAATGTTTATTTGGCACCCATCATCCTGCATCGGTTCTTATAGTTGCCCAGAATTATTTATGAATTTAAAAAATAAAGAATAATTTTCAAATTAATTGTAACCAGTGACATTTTTGACAAAAAAAAAATTTTTATTTCAATAAAATTTTAATCTCTTAAAAGAACAGAGATTGGATGTAGAGAGCCATTAATCGGATCATTGTTGAGAAAATATTGCTTTGATTTGTTTGTCACAAATTGTACTCTACTCGTTTATATATTTTCCACGTAGAAGACATTTTCTTGAACATCCTCATCAGGCGCATCTGACATCAGAATTTCGCGAAACCGTTCTCTCTCTCTCTCGCTCGAACGCGGAATGAAGTCGCTCGCAATAACAGAGATGCGCGACAGTGGGGCAAGAAAAGGCGAAGATACGCTGCATAATGCGGGGAAAAGGAAAGAAACGAGCCAATATCCAGCCAATATCGGGGGACTGGAAATGGAATTGCAAGTATCGCAACTCCAGCCCGCGATGCGAATACCTAGAGAAAGGTGGGTTCTGTTTGCCTGCAAATTGGCCCTCGTCGTGGTCGTCGTGGCTGATCTGTTTTCCCCCTAGTCCCCGGAAACAATGGATCTGTTCTTGTTAGTGTTAGCGGGAACCTAATGAAACTTCGAGCTCAACGAGGTCGGAGAGCACCGCAGAATAATTTTCTTTTCAGCGACGTCGAGAAGTTACGCGATCTATATGGAAACGCGATCGCGTATTTCTGTGATTCTGAATTGCAAAGTGAAGGGTGGTACTTTGTTATAAAAGTAGTCCTCTTTTTAATAAATGTGTAATATACCGCGTTCTATAGAATTCAAATCAGATTGCGATTAATTCCGGCGACACGGCATCGTAGAATTTCCTTTGTCAATATTTCTCTTAACGATAAGAAAGTCCAAGCACATTTCGATATTCACGGATGATGGTTTTGTTTATTATGCGTTTTATTTATTTAGGATCCGAGAGAGAGAGAGGCAGGTACAAGCTTCTCCTTTGACATCTATTTGCTTGGGTAACCCGAAAATTATTCAGGTCCCTCATAAAGTCTCCATTCCTCTCTCGGATACACACCTTACTTTTGACATTTTTTTTCCCCGTTTCGTTTTTCCTTCAAAAGTCTAGGCTGCATATTAAATGTTCGGTGCATTTTAAATAAGAATATGCAATTGAAAAGACCAGACTCCCGTTGGGGAGCAATTCGACGCGTCTGAACTTTTCCTCGCGACGCGAAAACCGGAAGTTGCTCTTTCATCGGTCAAATTTCGACGAGTCACGCACACACACACATATATACACACACACACACACCTACACATGCGCTTCCCTTTTCTCCCCGCCGACGTTTAATAAAAGAACGGCTAATGTTTAATTCAACATTCCACACGGCACGCCGAATCGCAAATGAATCGCATATGCACACATTTCGTTAATAGGAATACGAAATAACGTATCGAAGGCACCTGATCGGAAACCACAATTCGTTGCTCGCTTACATGCTAATAGATCGATTGCGCAATTTTTATTTGTTTTTTAAAAAGAGCCATTTGTTCAAAAACATTGGAGGCAAAATAAAATTGTGATACAGTCCAATGTTTTCTAGTAAATATTTATGAGCGTGAATTTTTATTTTGAACCTTCAACTAAGGACAGGGTGGGTGTCTAGTGAAATTGGAAAATAAAATTTAAGAACATTTTTAGGATATTTCAAGGAAATTTGCACGACTCTCTAATAGATAAAGTCGATATAAATTGTTAATGAAAATTAATATATGCATTACAAATATTCGATACAATATTCTTTTACATTATATTTGAACACTTAAAATCTATAAACAACTTATGCGTAACACATATTTTTGGACTCCTTGGTAAATAAAAAATATATTGTATAATATTATTTACGAAGATGAAATATTATTCAGCTGACTCGTTTAGCTAAATGTTAGAAGTAACAAAAAAAATCAAGAATCTACAAAAAAATTGAAGGACTTGAAGGTTTTTAAGGACGGTTAGACACCCTGAAGGTTGAAGAAAAAACCTTTAAAACGATCGGTATTTTGCATAGCTTTTTTTCTAATCAAATGATGATCTTGAATCAACGTGGCTTCTTGTAAATGTGTAATCTTTTTGTAATTTTCTTGTAGTCGAGATATTAATTGCATGTCGCGAGAGGATCGGATTCATTCCAAACAAGTTCCCGGCTATTTTCTTTAATTTGTCCACTTCTTACGGGAAAAAGCACGCGGTATAAAATGGGCGTGACACCGTAATGAAAGAGAGATAATCACGGCTATATCACGCTACACACGCGGCCATCAATGCGCGCAATATTTTATGGCGGTCGTTAAGGAGGTTTAAGCACTTTAAGCAGCCTCAGGACGGCGCTATACGTTTCGCTCATATATACAATTTTAGCCTCGCGTTTACAAAGTAAAATATTTACTTCTCGTCGGTCGAAGAAAGGGAGGGGTTCGCGTTGATAATCCAACGGGGGATTATGCCGCGGTCCGGAATGCATTCCTCTTTAACGCCACTCGCATATTCAACGAACAACGACACCTCCACGACGACCCGAGGCCCGGAATCGGAGTCCAACGACCCGGCCGGGAGAATTATCGCGATTCTACTTACGTAGAGGAGATGACGCGCCGATAAAATTTAATGTTCATCCTATGCCGGAAGAAATGTGACTTTCGGTATACCGAACGGGCTCCTAAAACTGAAACGGAATTGACAATCGACATGTTTCCAGTGAATAGTCTTCCTAGAAAAAAAAGGACTTTACGGTATAGACATTGATAGAATTTTAATCTAAGACTGTTCGCGCGAGAGAAGGATGGCCTTGACTCGGGTGAAGGGTAGAGTTGCCGGTAGCACGAAAAGGATCGTGCCACCTGTGTGTGTTTCTTACGTGAGATGTGTAATAATAAGAATCTACAACGGTTCGGCAAAGCCCACGCTCGAATGAATACCTAGGTACAAGAATGATAATCTGTTTAAGCTGTCGATCATTTTAGAGACGAGTGGGAAAGAGTTTATTTCACCCATAGAGAAGAGAACAGCTACCTATACACGTCGTTTGGAAAATAAACAGATGGATTATATACTCATTGTCAGACACATTTAGCCGAGATAGATGAAGAATAAACTTCCTAATATAGTTTCCAATTATTTTGCAATTTAATCATTTTATATTTATTCAGACAGTCTGAAAAAAAAAGGTCGCACCTGACATTACGTGTCTATAATAATGATTTCTTTTCTTCTCGAGTCACGACATTTAATTAGCACGACGTGTCAATTATACTTTTCCCCATCCCCGGGTTAACACATTTAGCTATCTCTAAATGGGATCCGCGCAAACGGATTACAGCGTCACGTTACACGCGAGACGTGCACCTGCATTGCGAACAATCGCGTCCTCGTCGTATTCACGTGTCGAAGCCGCCCACGCTTCGGTGCTCGCTCTTGTCGATGTCACGAAGGGAGGAACGACCCGCGTTCAAATCCAAAGGGTGAGAGACACTCTTGTCGAGTGATTCGCGCAATGAAGCGGATTTCAGACTCACCAGGCAATTCATCATCGTGCACAGGACGAGGATCGTCCCACGACTTCCGCGCATTATTTCCGCTTTGCTGGCCACGCGGCCTCCTCCGTCGAGCCGATTTCCTGCTTCACCTGCGCCCGTGTGTATATATGTATATTTTATATATATATATATATTTATATGTATATGAGTGTACGTGTGTATGTTGTGTACGTATGTATCACCGGTGTAACAAGCGCGGTCGTTAGCGTTGCACGTTGGGGGTTGCGTGACGGCGCGAAGTGGATATAAACGAGCAGCGGCGGACGCCTCCTCCGTGGTGCGTCTACGCGTACGTATGGATGGAGGATGACTGAAACCAGCATGAAACGGACCCCCGGCGGCCTGGCTTTCGGCGCGAGAGCTGGAACGGAGCAAAAGCGACTCGTGGGGCCCGTGACTCCCTACTCTTCGCCACGGTCTCGGACTCCCTGTCGTGTTCCCTCTTCTTCTTCTTCTTCTTCTTCTTTGACTTCTTTGATTTTCTTTCTTCGCTCGAGCGAGGAAGCCAGGTTTGCCAGGGACTCTTTAGAGTCGCGTGGCGATAGACACTTTGATGAGTCATATTTTTCGAGTAATTCGCGTAATGGTTCCTTCATGAGGATTTTATTTATGATTTAGTTTAATCAATTTTTCCCTATTTTATTCATCTCTCTTTCTCTTTTATTTCTTTTAAGTCTCTTCTGTTTGGTTTTCAATGGGGTAACAGTTATCAGTATCCTTTAGTTTCTCAGTGGCAAAAATAATAATGGAAAATGGAAAAGATATTTTTAAAATTATTTTGTCTCGTGTAACACACGAATATTTGCTTTTCATTAATTTATTATACAATTTTTGTGATGAAAGAATATCACAAGAATGGTCTTAATTAAATATATTTTTGCAATGGTTCCTTGATAAGGATTTTACTTATGATTTAGTTTAATCAATTTGTCTCAATTTTATTCATTCGTCTCTCTTTCTCTTTTATTTCTTTTAAGTCTCTTCTGTTTGGTTTTCAATGGGGTAACAGTTATCAGTATCCTTTAGTTTCTCAATGGCAAAAATAGTAATGGAAAATGAAAAAAATATCTTTAAAGTTATTTTACCTTGTATAATAAACACAGATATTTGCTTTTCATTACTTTATTACACGATTTTTGTGATTAAAGAATATTACAAGAATAGCTTTAATCAAATATATATTTAATTATTATGCCTAAATTTAGCAATAATAACTAATATTTTTTAGCTATAATTAAACGGAGAATCCTCTATTAAACTATAGCTAAAAAATATATATTAGCTACCATATTAACTACTAAATTTCAGGTGTAATATAGGAACAGCTAAAATTGAGCTGCGGTGGCTAATTCTTTTTTCCTGTGTAATCATTATAAATAACAAATTAATTTTGTTCCCATTTCTCTCTGTACTTTTTCCTCTTGAATTCTTCTTGCATTATAGTATTTCGTTGCATCGTGACAAACAGACCAACACTATCTCCTATGTATATCTTCTTTTCAATTATATAGATAATTCTTCTTGCAATTCTGTTTTTTTCATGACAACAAACAGACCAAAACTATCTCTTTTCTTATTTGTATAAGCACAAATCGCGCGTATATACTAAATATAGTACGGCATCGCGCTTTGAAAGTCGGTGAGATCTAATCCGTTCTAATGATGCTCGCTGCTCGAGAGCGCAACAGGCCCGTAAGAAAATTGACACAAAAGAACCTCCGAGAGCGGATGAAGAGCGGCGAAAAAAAAGTCCGGCGGTCTCTCTCGATTGAGAGCGATTTTTTTTGCAACGGCGATTATTGGAAAGGCGTGGAAAGGAGCAAAGAAAGGACGCGTCACCTTAGCTTAGCGAAACAGGAAGCGACGCGACGATCGAACTACGTCGGGAATGTAAATCGAGAATCGACGAATGTGCCGCAAGAAATATATGGAGAGACAGAAGCAGACGGAAGTTGCGCTTGCAAAATTCATCGATAAATCGCTCGGGAAAAGCAAGTCGGAGCTGTGACTGGCAATCTCGTCTTAAAGGCAGGAATTCCCCGGGTGAATCTTACGCCCCGGTTATATCTCCGTCATCGATCGCGAATCCATCCCGAACGAATCTCTCTCTCTCTCTCTCTCTCTCTCTCTCTCTCTCTCTCTCTCTCTCTGGGCGGAATCCCCGAGTTGGCGCGGATCGTCATCGGTGGCGGATCGTTGACCAGGATCGTTCCAGGACGTTGCTCCGATAATCGTTACCTCCAGGATACGAATAAAATCGTAACCAATTCATTACGGACAAGATAAATAAGCGGTTATCTTCTGTTAGTCCTATTTCGCTGGTTAAGGTATGTATGCGCAATCGTATCTCTAAACGATTCGTTTTTTAGCGCCGATAAAAGATCGATCGTCGAATCGATTCTCCTCGCGGGCGATTCTCATCTCGAGACACGATAACAATCGCGCTCTCATACACTTTGAGATACACAATTTTTATTTTCATTTCATTTTATTTCATTTCTTTTTAGATTCTGTGCTATTATATAATATTCGATTTTTTATGGACCTTCTCATATATAATGCTAAATAAAAAATACACGGAAAAAAATTAGCCACGCGATAGCTAACTTTTAGCTATCCCTGTATTATAAATTGAAATTTAGTTATCATGCATAAATTTTAGCTAAGATGACTAATATTTTTTACCTATAGTTTAACGGAGAATTCTGCACAGGTAGAATTTTTTCTTAGAATTTACTTTGAAAATCATGATAATCATAGAGCAATATAGAGGTATTGGAAGAATTTTATAAGAGTTATTTGCTGATTTAAATATCTAGTAGATATGTTAAATTAATTTTACTCTGTACATATTAATATTTTTTATTGTTGTAAATATTTTTTTAATCAGAGAAACTCTTTAACTTAAAAATTCTTTTAATATCATATTTTCAGGGTAAAATTTTATGTGTGATATAGGGACAGTTGTATAAAAATTTATCTATAATGGCTAATTTTTTTCCGTGTATATAACTAAAAAAAAATAATCTCCCTAGAATAGATCGTTTCTTCGGCACGTAATGTCGGGAGAAGAAAAATTGGGAAAATTGTTGCCGCGAATGTAATTAATCGTTTCTCGTTACTCGCATGCGCATCTGACTCTGCGGCTGATCTTGCATCTAATCTAGACTTATCAATCTCTCTTAATGTTCCATCAATTGTACGCGCGCGCGTTGGCGCCGAAATCAGGCTAATCCGCGACCGCGGATCGCCTGATGCGGATAATAACAGCCTCGACAGACGCCGCGGTAGCCTGCGGTTTTACGCGGCGTTATATACACGGCCGTAAACACCGTTACGATTTCAAACAAATGTTATATTCTCCAGCAGCCGGCCGGTCGGTCTGTTACCCCGTTGATGTTCGTAGTCAGATGACTTTGCGGGCTGGCGAGACACGCATACTCCTATTTAATGCGGACCGTCATCATCATCGACGCATCATATACGCACACGATGCGATGCATCACATCACGGCCGCCCCGTGCTCTCAATGAGCGCTAATGGAAATTATTTTTCTGCCCTCGCGGTTTTAATATCCTGTACCGTTCGGCCTATTACATTTTGATTTCAGTCCTATCCCTCCTTTCAACCCGGCCCTCATATATGTGCCATATTGCATCCGCGCACCGTGTCATTTCGTCCCGTAGTCAATTATCAGCCGGTGATATGAAGTGAAATGAGGGAAGAGGTAAAGTGAAGCGTTTTCTGTTTTAGACCGCAAAACGTTTCCTCGAGACGTTAACGTAAACACGAAACCGTATCTAGAGAATCTTTTAATCTTTTATCATTTTTTATAAAAATTTTTTCATGTATGTATGGTATTTTAATGGCAAAGTCAAGGGTAGAAGATATTAGCGAATGCATCTTCCTGTATCTTTATACGGTTGCATAAAATGATGAAAATAAATTTTTCTCAAATATAAAGAAGTGATACTTTAACACAGTTGAAGATTTTACGCCGTAGTCATTAAATTTTAAAGCGGTTATTTATTAAATCTAATAGTCACTTACTGTGTTGATGTCACACTTGTCATTTTATTACTAATCTTAATAATATACTTTTACGGCTGATAATTCATACGAGACGAAGAGGTAATTATACCTTTCCGAGAAAAGAAATGATGTAACACGGTAATAGTCCATAACCAGAGTCATTCGCTGATGTGCATCTCCTCCATTAAATAAAATCATTATAAATATAATGATAATCGTATTACAAATTGGACAATTATTTCTTAATTACTTTTCCGCTCTTTTGACTCGTTATTTAACAAAATTAGTAAATAGAATTACTTTATACGCTTAAGAAAAAGAAGACTTTCTCCTACGAGACAATTGCTCGTCCGCACGCGATTAAAACTTTATTGCCGCCTTTCGCGTTACAGAAAAAAGAGCAAAAAGTTCTCGGCGTGGTAATAGGACGACGACAGAGAGAAAGAGAGACGGGGAAAAATCGGTGATCACGAAGAACGATCTCGAAGAAGAGTGTTTCTTCGCGACTGATAGGCGCATTCCGCGTCGCAATTTTCTTCACCCGTAACTTCAGAGCAGGTGGCCGCGAACCGCAGGACGCTACCGTTTCTTGCATCCCGGCGACATCCTCGTAAACGACTTAATGGCCTTGGTTCGCCTCATATTTTTTTGTGTATGCGCATTTTTCCGATCTCTCGCGACATTTATCCGCCCATCGCGATCGCAGATGCTTGTGCTGCGGCTTACTTATTGACTGCATAAAAGCCACGTGTTTGTTGCGATACTTGGATCATGATTCTAGTAAGATAGCCACTTACTTGTCAGCTTCAACGACCTCCTTATTTTCATTTTTACTTATTATTTTTGTTTTTATTCTAATACAATTAAAATGTTAGGAGAAAATGGCTACTCGAGAGCTCGAACCCTTATAAATTCGAATCTATATATCAAATTATTTCCTATGATATTTTGAGCATAATTATAGTAAGATAGTTATATACTTGTCAGTGTCAACGATCTTTTTCTTATTTTTATTTATTATTTTTTCTAGTAAGATACCCACTTACTTGTCAGCTTCAACGACCTCCTTATTTTCATTTTTACTTATTATTTTTGTTTTTATTCTAATACAATTAAAATGTTAGGAGAAAATGGCTACTCGAAAGCTCGAACCCTTATAAATTCGAATCTATATATTAAATTATTTCCTATGATATTTTGAGCATAATTATAGTAAGATAGTTATATACTTGTCAGTTTCAACGATCTTCTTATTTTTATTTATTATTTTTTTTTTTATTTTAATACAATTAAAATATTAAGAGCAAATGGCTCCTCGAAGGTTCGAACTCTCGTAAATTCTCAAATATCAACATTTATTTCTGGGTGTGAAAAAGAATGATTTCTTGCTTTTAACATTTGTTATATCGTATAACTGTACGTATATGATTCATCAGAAGAATCAGAATTCTAGACACAATCGTAAAGAGTCAACGAACCGTGCGTCGCGAAAAGAAACGCGGTAGTACTTTGTTTTATATGATATAGCTTATACCGCTTATTCTCCACGTTGTCGCTAATCTGTAATAATGTACGGCGCAGCCGTGTCACATCATCGTCGTTCTTCATATCGTAGCTCTAAAATTCCACGCGAGTGGCCAACGAAACGAGATGCACCGTGTCATTTCGTAACGGGAAACCCAGGGGAGCCCGTCAGGACGACGCGATCCTAACGTAAAGACTCGGGTAATAAAGTGTCACTGTGCGTTGTTCTTACGAAAAGTCGCGCGAAAAGATCCGTGAAATACGGCGGCGTGACGAATCGTAAATTCCATTAGGTGTAACAGCGAGAAATACCGGGCGGCTGGTTATATCCAAGGGCCCCGTGGGGATATACAGTTATACACATCGATGAAACATTCATGAAACCCACGGTGTGATGCTCCTCGTGTGCGTGTTGCGAGTTTACAGACGCGTGCATCGGTGCAATCGCCCGTGGGTCAAGCGCCGCGCTATATTTTTTCTTTTTTCCTTTTTATTTTTTATACGTCGTCACTCTACACCGCGCCTTTTTAGTGCCTATTATACGCGCCACTTCGTGGTCTGTATTTGCAATCAATGAAATGGAGATGAGACGTAACGGGCGATCGGTTGACAAATTACGCGAGCGAGATAATTAACTTCGAGAGAGAGCGTTTTTCTTATCGCGAAGAATTAAAAGTTAAAGCTTTCGCAGGAACTTTAATGACTTGGGAATTTGCAAGTTTGATTTTTGACATTTTTTCACCTCGCATCTATATATGAAGTCTAAACTTTAAAGAAAAGATAGAATCGGCAAGAGTATTCGCGTAATCGGAAAGAACTTTTTCGAAAAAAAATCTAATTAGAGCTCTAATCAATTCTACAATGATATCAATTTAATTTTTTTCAATTTTTTAAATATAAAATGAGCATCTTGTTATATTTACACTCTTCAGATTTATTACATTTTTCACCGAAAATCATCTTAGAATAATTGAGATTCAAATAAGATCTCAAATTGAAATCTACTTTATACTGATAAAAATGTATCGATAAAATAATAATAAAAGTTACGATAAAACCAAAACACATTTACCCTCGAGTGTTTTATTAAGTATATTCGATATGTTGTTCCAACTAGGAGTTGGATAACGTGGGATCACTAATCAGCCGAGGCGATAGAAATGATGAGAGCGCAGAATTGAAAGAATCATAAATAATCGAATAATGAAACCAGTGCAATCGGATATGGTAATAATGGCTTGTACGGCCTCTTACCTGTCTGACGACCTTCCACTATTCTCCATCAACTCCTTCATCATCCTTCTCCTACGTCCTACTTCATCGACATCATTATCGTCATCGTCAAAGCTGGCATTTTCATCTTTAGAGTCCCTCGAGAGCGTTGAATCCAGAGGAATTTGGAATGTCGATTTTCTGAAAAATGCAGAATAACATGTCGTCGATTTTTATTGAATTTTATGCATCATAATTTATCTTTATTTATAATTCAGAGAGAAACTAAAATTTAATTTGATAAAAATTTATTAATTTTTTTTCTTTTAAATTAGTCTTTACTAGTGTTAACATTTTTCTCATATTTCTTTCTATTTTTGTTATATACAAATATAAAATAAAATTTTAAAGTTTAAATTAGAAAATTAGAAAATTAGAATTTCGAATTTCGCGATAATTGATTTAAAATAAAATAAAAAATAAATAAATAAAAATAAAATTAAAAAAAATTTTAATAAAAAATTTTTTAATAAAAAAATTTATTAGTCTAATACAAAATCACGAATCTATATTAATGCTTCTTTCGATGAGGATCGGAAAAAACGCTGTTACAGTTTTGACATATAATTGACACATTAATTTGACACAACTATATAAATAAGAGTATGAATCGTACACATTGTGATTATCAAAATTGCGAGGGAAGTAGCACGAGGAACAATTCGATATCTCGCCTCATTTATCTTTTTCTCGGTAAAACATTTTGCCTGTTATCCATGCGAGTATCAGCCGGGATGCGGTATAATGACGATAATGTTATCCTTCCCCGTCTCTCTCGTTATTCTTCGCGGACTTAATTATCCTGCTCGATTATTAGCGCTGCGCGCGTTGCGTTTTATGATAAAATAGTCAGTTAAAATTCTCACGGGCTCGATTATATTATTTTTGTTCTTTTATGCACATACGCTAATAATTTGCCGATCAAATGCATTTAACACAGATTTATACTACGATGCTTTAAATAAACTTTTGTATCAAAATGCGGCTGATACGCCTTTGAATTTTTTACGAGTCCCGCGCGTGCTATATAATTATATATGGTTATAGAACAAAACTTTGATTAACCTGAGCGATGAATTCATCTGATAGAATTATATTACTATCAAACTAATAACCCAGATAGCCACAGTAATTATTATGACATCATTTTGATGGCAATAAATGATGCATTTTGACATCAAAATGATGTCATAATAATTACTCTGGCTATCTGGGAATATATATATATATATATATATATATATATATATATACATATGATTCGCTTCTAAATCTAATCTTTCTCTCTATAAATATCGAATAAAAAATTAATAATTCTACCTGTATCGAGACAAAATAACATCAATAAAATGCAGGTTACTCGAGATAGAAAATTGATAAAAGTTAAATCGAAGTTTGGAATCAAAGAGTGTGCCTCTAAAAATTGATATAGCTGATAAATATGAGTTAATTAATTGAAATATGTATATTTATATGTATATAAATAGATATAAAAAAGAAATTACGAGATTTATTGTAGAGCTGCGATCCTGTACGTCTGCTGAACGTCCATGTCGAAACTGAATTCAATTCTCTGACGTCATTTCTCTGCCGTGTCTCCGAGGGTAATTCAGATATTTTCTCGACCGAGTTGACAGCTGTCAAATGTGTTGCCTCATCCGCCGGAAGAGGCAGCACCTCTCACGTTCTTTTCACTAGTTCTCCTGCTCGCACGTTCTTTCTCGATCATATGCCGGAAATTTTCGCGAGTGCGAGTTTATAAGTGCGTTTCATTCTTGAGAAACATGGCTCTCATTTCTACAAGAGCAATTTTCAATCCCGGTAAGATTTAATACACTCTAACAATCACGCTAATTTCTTCGGTATACTTTCATTAATTATTTCTCACATTGTTTCGTCGCCGGAATCTCTTCCTTGATCCGATTATTACACGTGATGAAATTAGGGTTAAGGGGCTTTGTATCAGTAAAACACTTATTGTTAGTTTTTCATCACGTAACAATTTTTTGTTTCAGTGCTGAGACAAACCCTCAGGCAGATCATCTTTACAAAGCAATTGCCAAAATGTGTAGGTTCAACACGTTTATTATCAACGATTCATTAACTCCACATAAACGTTCATAGCTAATGAACAGTTGCCAGAGACTAATATGCAATTAAATTATCAATAAAAATTTTGTAAATATATACTACTTTGATCTCAACGTTTCAATAAAATATTATATTTTTATATTGCGTTAATATTTGTATTTCAAATTTCTCAATTTTTATTTTTAAATATATCTTTTATGTGTATATATAAGATTCATTGTGATTTAATGAACTAATTAATATACTATGATGTACAGTTATATTATAAATTTTATATCTTTGAGTATATATTATATTACTGCACTGTTTCAGCAACGTCGTTATCAATTGAATAGTCGGGTGTTTCTTCCAACTGTTACCAGCCAGAGGTTCTATGCGGAAAAGAAAGTATTTACTCGTGACAAACCACATTGCAATGTAGGCACGATTGGTCATGTAGATCATGGCAAGACTACTCTAACAGCAGCTATTACCAAAGGTCTCTATTTATTACACTTACAAAATAGCTAACGATATTTGTTATGTGAGCAAAAGCATGAATAAACATAAAATATTGTTATAAACAGTATTATCCGAAAAGGAATTAGCAACAGCTAAGGGATATAACGAGATCGACAATGCTCCTGAAGAGAAAGCTCGAGGAATTACCATTAATGTTGCACACATTGAGTACCAGACAGAAAATCGTCATTATGGACACACAGATTGTCCGGGTCATGCCGATTACATTAAAAACATGATCACTGGAACAGCGCAGATGGATGGCGCTATATTGGTTGTCGCCGCCACAGATGGTACAATGCCACAGACTAGAGAACATTTGCTCCTTGCTAAACAAATTGGTATCAAATACATCATTGTTTTTATTAACAAGGTATAACATTTGTGAAAGATAGTTTATTAAGAATAAAAAGTCCACATGATATTATATCTTCTAACATCTTCCAGGTTGATGCGGCTGATTCGGAAATGGTAGAGTTAGTAGAAATGGAAATACGAGAATTGCTTTCTGAAATGGGCTATGATGGCGATAACGTCCCGATAGTCAAGGGCAGCGCACTCTGCGCACTTGAAGGAAAGAATCCCGAAATTGGTGCGAAAGCCATCCTAGAATTGTTGGAAGTGGTAGACAAAAATATTCCGACTCCAGTAAGAGAGCTGGACAAGCCCTTCTTACTCCCGGTAGAGAACGTATATTCTATTCCTGGGAGAGGTACTGTGGTAACTGGTAGATTGGAACGTGGAAAAATAAAAAAAGGAATGGAATGCGAGTTTATTGGTTACAACAAATCTATGAAAAGTACAATCACGGGTATAGAAATGTTCCATCAGATATTGGACGAAGCTCATGCTGGGGATCAACTCGGTGCTCTAGTTCGAGGTTTAAAGAGAGACGACGTTAGAAGAGGCATGGTAATGTGCAAACCTGGCACTATGAAGGCGTACGATCATATAGAAGCGAAAGTATATGTATTGAGCAAGGAGGAAGGTGGCAGGAAAAAACCTATAGCGAATTTGATACAATTACAAATGTTTTGTAAAACGTGGGACATCGCAGCGCAGTGTACTGTAAAGGATAAAGATATGGCCATGCCGGGAGAAGATAGCACGTAAGATATATTTCATTTACATAAATAATTCTTTGAAAAATTGTTTGCTACGTATTCATCGTGTTCTTTTGCTGCAGATTGTTACTAAAGTTGATAAGGCCGATGGTATTAGAGAAAGGACAGCGCTTTACATTACGAGATGGAACGCAAACTCTAGGAACTGGCGTAGTTACTAACACTCTTAAACCGCTTACCGAAACAGAGCGAATAGCCCTTCTCGAAGGTAAGAAGGCAATACAAAAGAAGGAGAAGCAACAACAAAAGCAGTAGACTCGAAAAATATTTGTTGTAAAATGAATCGTAATCATGTTATACAATAAAGCGAAAGATGTGTCACACACAAGTCAGATAGTCGGATCTCGATCAATGGTCAAAACTCTCAAATGAGCGTGTATTCTTTTGAAATAAAAGTTAATTGATAGGTGTGCAAGATGTGACAACGGTAAAGATTATAATGCTAAATATATAAACTAATTATATATTTTAACAAGGCATTTTTATCACTTTATTAGAGATTATGAACCTTATAGTTTTATTAGTTAACGAAGAAGGGTGACAGTAGTCTGTATTCAAATATATTGTAAACGTATGTTTATCAAATGTAATTCTCGCTTCTTTCTCAGTTTCCATGCATCTATATAAGAGACACATTGTACGAGCAAGTAAATTTTGAATAAACTACATTAAATAAAACGTCAGGAATTACGCGATGATTAATACACAAAAATCCGAGAACATTATAGCTTTAAAAACAGTTTCATAATTTATTAAAGTTCATACATCAGCGCGGTACAATCTGCTTTAAGCAGAATAATGAAACACTATTAGAAGTGTACAAGAATTAAATGTACATGCTGCAATGTCATTCCTCTAATTCCTTTCTATACTAAAAATTCAGCGGTGTAATTTACACGTGACTCATTTCTTCCATTAGTTAGTGGGAACAATGATTTAAAAAGGTGGGTTAACAGTTTCACATATTCTTAACAAAACGGTTCTTGTATAGAAAAAAAAAACACTGTTTATATAATTTAAGTTGAACAAATCGTACATTCATCTTTTGCTTATAAAAATTTGCAATTGTACGCTTATCGCAAGATTCTTTCTTGTAAACTAATCACATTTCATGCCGAACTATTGTATACATCTATTTCAGAATTGGCAGTTTGTATTTTATACTTTATGTCAGAAAAGTATAAAGACAAAACTTAAAAAAACCAATGTTAGTTTAGATATGCCTTAAAGTGGGTTAGCGCGATTGTGTCTAATATACAGCACGTCTTTCAGCACAATCCCATTTCTTACGTATATATGTACATACACACGCACGCACGCACATTTATACAAGCGAGCGAATCAAAAAATGTAGAGAATTCATTCGGATTGGATGTTTCATATTACATCACGTTCAACAGTTTCAGCAGGCTGTATTCTATAAACTGGTATCACAAATTGTTTCACCTTTGCTCCTTAACTTTACTCCAGTTTTAATTTATAAATTTATATGTCATCATCTTCCCCTTATATGTGAGAATTTTACAAAATCTAAACATTCAAGTGTAGGTAGGTTTGCATACACAATCACACATGTGCGTATTTCGCATCTCAAGTGACCCATCTTTAAGGCTACAACGATAATGATAGTATAAAATCATCAAATCATTATGTATCCAGAATGTTTATTGAACTAAATATTGCTTTTGGAAATTATGCAATTATTACTTTCTTGAAAGAAAGAATCTTCGATTTCTATATGAAGAAACACGAGTGCGCGATACACCCAAGGGGCACTCGTACAGTAGGCCTTACTCTCCGTAAAGGCCATTTGCTGTGTTAAATAAATTAAAGATCTTCGTCGTCTTCCGGTAATGCCGTTTCTTGAGCTTCCTTGAGATCTTTCTCGATCTGTTGCTGCCATTGTGGATCCATAGTAACTTCCGGCGGCAATAATGCAGGCATAGCAACAAATTCCAAATTGGGATCTCCGATCAACTTGCGTGCCAACCACAGGAAAGGTTTTTCGAAGTTGTAATTACTTTTTGCACTGATGTCATAGTACTGGAATAAAAAAATGCCAAAAGTTGTATATTATACTCTATAGGATTATATATTTACGTAGCATATAAATTATATCTATAACAAAATTCAGATTAGAGGGACAGTATAATTTCTTCACTTTCAATCAGAGTGCTGAATCATTAAAGAAATAAATAAACAAATTAATAAAAATATAAAGTTTTAAAGAAAATACAACAGAAATACATATAACTATGGTACACAAAAATATATATATACCTGTAGATTCTTCTTTCTGTGAAACACGATGCTCTTGGCCTTTACTTTTCTATCTTTTATGTCAACTTTGTTACCGCAGAGAACAATTGGTATGTTTTCACAGACACGGACCAGATCTCTGTGCCAATTGGGTACATTCTTATACGTCACTCTGGATGTAACATCGAACATGATCACGGCACACTGTCCCTGAATATAGTAGCCGTCCCGAAGACCACCAAACTTTTCCTGACCGGCCGTGTCCCAGACGTTAAAACGTATCGGTCCACGATTGGTGTGGAAGATGAGCGGATGGACCTCGACTCCTAGAGTGGCGACGTACTTCTTTTCAAATTCACCGGTCAGATGACGTTTGACGAAAGTGGTCTTGCCGGTACCGCCGTCGCCGACGAGGACGCACTTGAAGGTTGGCATATCAGGTTCGTTTGCCATTTTTTTACTGTGACTTTTTCTCCGTAAACTCGATCGACGTTAGGAAATCTCTGCAAAAAAAAAATAACAAAAGCTGATTAGATTCCTAGCCTACCTGATTTACGCAACGAGGTAGAAAGAGCACATGGCGCGATCATTTTCTCGCATATTTTCGACGAGGATCGTCAATCGGAAAATCGAGCATGAGAAAAATGAGAAAAAATGCAATCAAGAACGAGCGAAGAAGCTATAAGGAAAAACCTCGCGGCCACGCGTTCGAAACGTGATCCGTACCCGGAGGATGTCCTCTGCGTTGAAGCAGGAGGGAAAAATTCGTGAGGCTCGAAATTCGGAGTCGAAGCACGCGTCAGTGGGATTCACCGATATATTATATACACTGCTATATACCGCAGCGCGGGGAGCAACAACAGCGATGAGGAATGGCGCCCGGGTGAAGCGGGGGGGCCGGCAAAAAGGCGAAGGAATTTTCCCTCGCGATTTTATTTCGCCCGTCTGCGGCGTATTTCGCGCGTAACGCGGATCCGTGGATTGATACCGACTCGTTCCCGGCTTCCCACGTTCACGGGGCCCCGGATCGACGCGAGTACGAAATTTTCCCGGGTGGGACGGCTGATGTACGTGAAAATGAACGGTAACACTCACCGCACGGCACAGTCGCTACGGCTCACAATGGCGTTCCTCTGAACGAACGAGCGCAGGTCGACCCCTCCACCTTTGACGGATCCGCCGGGTCACGTGGTCGCGCGCTCCCGCGCGCCGAGCTGTCAAATCGCCGCGGAAAAATTCGACTCGATTTTACGCGCTCGCTTCAACGACGAAATAGCGCACATTTATTTCACAACGAACGTTTAATTCTCCGATTTGACTTAACCGGAAGTGAGCGTTCAGCGACATCTGCGCGCCGTTTTTCGTTGCCGATGCACACGCGAGAAGTTTGGCGCAGTTGCGCAGACGAGACGCGGCAGGTGTACGGGCATGACTTTGTCTCGTGGCGGCAAATGTTCAAAGGAAGAGGGACGGAGAGCGAGTGAGAAATAAACCGGACGCGAGTTTTTATTTCTTTTCGGCGAAGAGACGCGTTCGTTGCTTTCGCTGCTAATTCGTTATTTCGAGTAGTGGACGCGCGCGAAAGGGACGATTTAAGGTTACATGATATATAGATGAAGTAGTGTATTTACGAGGAAAACGCTTTGGATCAGATGGATATTTATTGTTTCGAGTTAAAGTAATTGATTTAGATATTTTTATCGCATTCGTTTTCCTTTTTTCAGTTTTTTTTTGATTATTTAAAATATGGATAATTATAAGTATTTCTTAGTAAGAGAGTGTAAAAAAAAGTTTTTTTGAGAGAACACTGTTTTGAATTAATTAATTAATTAATTGCATGTTTTACGAAACAAATCTGCATTAAATATCGGAGTTGAATTGTTGGCAATTAACAGAGAAAAATACACTTTACTTTATTATTTTATAAAATTTTTATATCTCTTTTTTATTCATTTTTTATTGTGAGAGATGACGAATAAAAATAACTAATTATATATGTAATAATTTTATTATATTACTATCTTTTTTCTGGTTTTTTGATATACACAATATTAAAATTTATTATTTTCTATTTTACTTTATTCGCAACATATATTCTATCGTGCAACAATATAGGTCAGTGTTCGCAAAGATGAAAACACGCGCGGTGAAAAGTGTTTAAAATACATTGAGTGTCTGTCGTTAAAAAACCAAGTGTATAAAGTGAACCGTGAAAGGAGTCGGAATCCGAAATTCGGAGTCACGTCGTTGCTCCGATCGTTGTTTACCTCGTCGGCAGGAAGGGGGCGCCATGGCGCTCCGGCGCCGTCCCTGTCTGACGTCATCGGCGCGTGCGCGTCGCGTCGGGACAGCACTGCAGAAGCAGGCGAGTTCGCGAGTGTATCGATTTTACGATCGTGCCTCTCTCGCGGTGCCAGTGCGTCCGTCGTTTCCTTTAGTTTTTTAGTGGCCGTGCACGTCGTACATGGATAAAACCGTGAATGGGATTACCCGCTAGACACGCCGCTCCGTACATCGCCCGCTGACTCGCAACTCCTCGTCACCCTTCACCATGACCAAGGATAGATTAGCAGCCCTCGTCGCGGTAAGTGAATCTCGAGTCGAGAGAGACCACTTCTCTCTCTCTCTCGCTTTCTTTTTTCCCCCAGTCTCGATGTCTTCCCTCGTCTCTATCTCACCTATACGAGCTGACACACGCCGAGCCTTGACACGCGTGTAACACGCGTGTCTCACGCCCCGCGTGTAAACTTACGCTCGCCGTTCGCGGTCATTCGAGCTCGGAACGATTTCCTGGAGTCTCGACACCGGTTAGGTTTCGATGACGGATCGGGAAGGCGTAACCGAGAACCGGCAGCGGATGACAGGCGGCTCGCTCGCTCGAGCTGACAGGTGTTCGCGGGACCGACCGCGATCAGACCGCGAACTGACAGTCGTCATTGTCGACGTCGTCGTCATCGTCATCGTCATCGTCATCGGTGTCGAGACCGGTCGCGCCCGGGTCCATGGCGACCATGGCCGACCTTGTCACTTCCTGGCGAGGCCATGAATGTGTGTGTGTGGGGAATGTATTCCCCCATCGCGATAGAAGGTTTGAATATCAAACGCGTTCATTCATAGTATAAAATATAGATTTTTATATTCTCGTGAACATGAAAAATTCAAGTTTCGAAATTGTCATTTAATGCTGTCAAAATTATTTATAAACACTGCGTTATTTTTTTTTCTTTGAAATTATTCTCGATGGTGATATTTAAAGCGGTCTGCAACGCAAAGGGAATACGTGTGAAAAAATTTGCAGCCATTAGAGTTGTCAATCGACTTTAATAATGGATCATCGCGATGAATATATTCGTCAGGCTGAAACGAATGTCACGTCGTATGAAAGGATTAATCGCGGCAATGTTTTCCAACACGGGTGCACGGTGCTCAACGCAGCGAATTTCGTCACATAAATGCGACACGATTGCACCTGTCGAATATTTGAGCGCGTGAAGCCGGTTTCAAATTCGCGAAGATTCGTTTTAATTGATAACATGGTGGGTGATATCCCGCTTGTGTCACGCTTGTGGACTCTCGTCGACTTGTCAATGGTATCATTGACGACACCGAATACGCGATACTCCTTTTCGTGTTTTGCGTGGTGAAGCGTGAGATGTATCGATTGAATCAAAATGTATGACTTCCGACGTAAGACGAAGAGATATCGATAAACTGTAACATTATTAACGATCGAAAATTAGCTTTAACGCGAAATATCAACAACTTTTAATTCAATAATTTGAAAAAATTGCTCTTATCACTGATGGTTTGTTAATACTTCTCGTGTTATCTGAATATTTTTATTGGTTTTAATCTTTCATGCACACAAATACATAATATATGATTTGAGATTAAAATTTCAGATTTTTTTCGATATATTTTTTATAACTTTTATGAGAGAATTTTTTAAATATTTTTTTAAGATAGTACGAGTTTGTACAAAATTAAAATTTTGAAAAACATTTTCTAAACAAACAGTCTTCATTTATGTAGTTTACATCGTATAAGTAATAATAACATATAATAGTAGTAAAGCGAACTCTTACTTGACCGACTTTCTTTTTGTTCTGAATTCTCAATTATTGGTTGGTTCTCCAACTTAGTGTAAGATGCATGACACGCATCAAATATCACGCTAGCTGATACCTACTCATGATGACTCATTAGTCGGTTGCATTCGTGGAAAGTATGTGTATGGGCGTAGAATTCTCAAGCCCATATTACAAACGGGCTTCCTTGTCTGTCATTGACTATTATTATCTCGTGAGACTTTCGAAACGAAATGTTAATTATTATATTACACAATAATAATACCTATTGTGATAATATTACAAAACATGCGGTATTACCTGTATCGTTAATTTCGAAACAATTTAAAAAACCTTTTTTTTAAAAAATTAATATAAAATAGGCAGCTTATCTTATGTATGATTTTGTATCGCTTTAAAAAATTTTTCACAATAACAGTCGTGATGCTATTTTTTATGGAAGATGCTCGACATGATGAATTTTTAAATTTAATTATAATTATAATAAAACGTACTTTATAAGAAGTAACAGAAACGAGAACCTGTTGAGACTAATCTGAACGAAAGAGATTGAAATGTCCACTTTTATTAGCAAATACATCTTTAGAAATTTCTTAGTTTTGTATTATGATATTTATATTTGGCTCGAATTTATTCCCTTTTGCTTTTATTAGTAATTATTTATTATATAGTATAATATATTTATAACTTTTGAATTTCATTTTTGAAAGAAAGAGAAAGAGAGGGAGAGTAATATTCCATTGTAAGATAAGAAACGCAAAAAATTAAAATTCGTTCCGCATTTACATCGCTCGGTTATTATCGTCCTTGTCGCTCTGCATAAAAAATATGCAAGCATCTTCTATAAATAACTGAGATTCTTTTATGAGAAGATACGGCGAATTGCGAGACATTTTTTCGCGCTCGCGGTATGAGATAATTCTCTCTCGAAAATAATTGCGAGTTTATTACAATTGTGATTCGCGTGTTACGTCGGTATTTCTTGGAGAGTGTGTCGTGACCTTTTATGTTCGCTATAAAGATTTCTATATCGAGGATTATATGTGTGCGACACAATTTTTCTCTTCTTTCCTTCGAAATATATCAATATATATTTCATGTCGATCCACATATCTTTATAAACTTTCAAGACTTGAGAACGATATCAAGTATTGGAAACGTTTTACGATGTATTGTTTGTAATATTTTATATGGAAAAATATCAAGCTTGTTTCGATCATTTTCAATTTTTTTCATCCTATTATACAATTAACAAATATAATAAAACATTATCTGTAATATATCAAGTTTTAATCATATTTATATATTAAACAACGATATTTAGATTTTTAATTTGCAGTTAATAATAATTTTATTCATTTCTAAAAGCTGTGCAACAGATAACTTTTTTCTATATTTTTTTTCTCCTAAGCACTTTTTAATTTCTGAAAAATTGTGATTTCCCCACATGTAGTTCTTTTGACAAGAACAATTTTTCTTTAGAGAAATTCCTTGACACGGCCGATAAAACGCGCGTTTATTCTCTTGATTTCGCTCGTATATGAAGGTTATCCCCACCATAGATTTGCTGTTTACATAACGTTTCGTTAGGCATGCTAATTACTTCGAATGACATCTTCGGTTATGCTCGACAAAACGCATAGTGAGTTATTAGTCCACCATCGTTTAGAATTCAAAGACATCGAGAACATTTCGAGTGTTGAAGAATTAAAAATGCCTCCTCGAAAGAGATTGCCTTATTATATCAATATACTGGTACGTTAAATGTGTAGATCTCTGATTAAAATTAATATAAATCCGATTTCTTTTTGATAGTTAAATACGGGAATACGAATATATCTTATGTCAATTATGTTTTACTTTTTTTATCACCAGAATATAAGTGTGGAGATCATTTTCGTATATTTCTCGTATCTGAATTTATCGGAAATTATGGCTTTCAATCTTTGATTAAATTTAAAACGCAAAATTTACGAAAATAAAAAATGCGAATATAAATATTTAAATTATTCTCGACAAATGAAAACATCAATTATACAAAATAAATGTGTAATTATTTCGATTTTTTTATTTGAGGAAATGACGGTTTGATAAATCATCTATTCGTTTTGTAAATATCCCGAAGCAAAAATATATTTTAGTTTGAAATAAAATAAATATATAATAAACTGGAACGCGTATACACGTGTACAAAATATACAGATCTGGCCGTAGAAAATAAAGTCGATTATCTCTGTTCCACATGATTTTGCTACTCTGTACGTATTGTATGTAACAGCGTAATTTAGAAAAATACAATAAATTACTGATTCACAATAGTTAACTCAGACTGTAGATACGATTCATAGCCTTATAGCGCGGTACGAATCGAAATGGGAACAATGATCGATCGCGTGAAAATTACATTAAGCATTAGATAGCATCTAAATATAGCACTATATGGAATACACAATTTTATATTGTAAAATAATATATGAAATAAAGCACAAAAAATATACATACATGTATATATTATATTAATTTCCATCGCGCAAACTCAAGAAAGTGAGAGAGCCACTGTGGATGGAATTGTGTTAGCGAAATCGATCAATATCTCGAATTATCGGAAAATATTACGTTATACGCGAAATTTTATATATCTCAGTTAATTGAAAAAAAACAGTTTATAATTAAATGCTTAATTAAATATGCATGGTTTGAAATTGTTACAATATCGATGAATATTCAATCTGTACTGTTAATAGATACGGGCAAATTACTTTACTCGAGTTCTCCCCTTTCTGTTGTCGCGAATAAACACATAAAGCGTGTTTACGTGTCTATAGCATCGTAACCGCCAACTAACCAGAATTATATCAATTTCAATCCCTAACTCGTGCATGCTGCAAAGTGTTGGAGAGACACATATAATATTATAGTTTGCGTCGCGGTCATCACGCTAAACTTTGTTTGGGTAACGTTATTTTACACGATTGTACACTACTGTTATCAGAAAATATATACTATTTGCCGAAGAAATTCGCCGCAAAAATTCAACGCCGCGATATATCGATTGAGAGTGTAACGATACACTCTTCCGTCCTCTTGTCGTAATCGCGTGGTGCTTATAATCATTTCTTAATTGTATGCAAATATCGTATCGATTAAGCGAGGACCCGAGCGACAACTAGGGCGATCGAGAAACGAGCCGCGAAACTAATTAGAAACTAGAAACATTATATAAAAACTGTTAATAACAGAGACTTTAGAGAATGAGGAAAAATGGAACTATATGCTTGCTATGTATAGTTTTGTTAAAACATTTTTTTAAACACATTTAATTTCATCAATTTCGTCAGTAATTTTTTTTGCATTTTTATAAATAGGATATTGTATTTTTATGGTACCTAAAAATCCAGAAAAATGCGGATTATATAAAGTATCATATACATTAAATATTTTTTTTAGGTTTTTAAAATTAATAATAAATTGCTAATAAAACGGAATTTGACATAGTTGAATAAAAAATGATATAAGTTGGTTATGCATAAAATATCTGATATAAATATTTTATGCATAATTATTTGAACACTGCATAAGAGATTCACATTTGATTCTTTTATGGAATCTTATAAAAGAATATTACTTTTGTTTCACAAAATAGTTATTAAAAGTATGAAACTAACTCGAACTAGTTTTCCATCCAATAATTAAAACATTGAATAATATTATATAACATTTTCCAACTTTGATTAATATTTCCTTCAAATCTTTCGCGAGAAGTAGAAACAATGCAACGCAATGACATTCTGCAGTAGATGCTTCGTTTCATGAGATTTTTATTTTCATAACAGCATTAAACTTATAATGAAGGAGAATTCTGCAGCTCGCTATGGTGGTTTATCGGTTGATGAAAGAAATTTGTCTGCAATCTCGATTAGTGAATTATACTCAGCATTTCTTTCTTGACTTTTGCTGCAAAGAAAGATTTTATGTTCAATGGTGTTAGTCAGAAATACTTTTTTTCTTTTATTTATTTATATAAATTTGTTTGTATTATAACATAAAATAAATTGATTAAATCTAAAATTTATTTGGAAAATTTTCTCTAAAAGCTTGAAAAATATTTTTATATTTTATACAGCTATTGTAAAAATTTGAGAAGATTATATAATATACTCGCATTATAGTAAAAGGTCTTATTATAATTGGACTATTCAATCAAAATAATTATAATTGAAAAATAAAGATATATAAACAAGTTTATTCAAATATATAAGTTGATGTAAAATCGAAATTTAGATTAAATAATATGAATTCATTATGACACTTGACACTTTAACATATTAAAAGTTATAAAGTGTATTTGCGTTTTATATACATAAATGTGAAATAGTAATACGTTTATTGACCTTAACGATGAATTAATTATTCAATTGCTTGAATTGAATTGTTAGTCAATAATATAGTCACGATTAGAATTTAAACTGATATGATTATGATAACGATATGATAGCGATATGTGATTACGATTATTTTATCGGACAGATATAAAAGCAAAGTTCGAGGAAAGAAAGAACCACTGATCAAAATATATGTTTAATACTCCTCAATTATGCATTACCAAAATATCATAATTTATTACATAACATTAATATTTAAGCTGTATTTATTTATTTCAGTAATGAATAAGAAATATATACATATATAGAGAAAGAAAGTATATTTATATAATAATCTACAGCGCAAACAATACAAGATATTTTAAATTAAAAATTCAAACTATATTGGGTAATTTAGAGAATCTTCATATACATTTCTTTATAAAATATTTATATAATAATATATATTTATAATTTATATCGAGAAATATTTTTTTTAATTAAATATTGAATGCCATTTTTAACGTTTACAATAATGTTTACCAACTAATGTCCTGAGTCTGCATATCACAAAGCTTCAACAGTTTCTTCTCGGTTAAGACAAGATAAGATAAGAGAAAAGATATGTAAGATGATGACAAGACTGTAATAATTTATTTTTATGAGCACTTAAAGCATTTTAAATACAAGCCTAATTTAATTATATACCAACAAAAGATTTTTATTCACAATTACAATATTGTTTATAATTTATATAAAGTATATCGTCTATTCAATAGATAAATTGAATAACAATAAAGCCGCGATTTACCTTCAGATTCAGAATTGAACGTTACGCGCAGATAATATATTTATTATAATAGCGTGAGATAATTCTAACGAGGGCAAGATCATTATTGTTCAAATGAAAACGGTTGTGCCAAGTTACACGAGAGGAAGTCAGTTTTATCAGGATGGGAGATTGCGTATGCACATGTCCGCGTATACGCAATCACTGATGAAACTCGTCAGTCACGCGTGTATATTTGTGCCTTTACGTTTATCGCAGCAGAATAAATCACGTCCGACCTAGTCTTATTAATTGATTATATAATGTTCGAAAATAATTTTATATCGTCATTCTGTTCCCAGTATTCCGGAATATCGCGGAACCGATTATCGTATGACATTTTTATTTGCTGAATATTTTTATATATATAGGCATTTATAGAGACAATTAAATGAATACCTATATTAAGAGGAATATCATCGAGAATTGATGAAATCGATCCTTTATAAAAAAAAGTAATTCGAAATTAAATTTGTTTTATACAACGCTTTGCTTTTGAGAGAAATGACTGAAATGGAAAAAAAAAAATGATTATTCTTCTTTTTGGTTGCATACAAATGTTTAAAAACGCCCACACCTTAAGAAAGAAAATAAAATTAAAATATTCCAATTGAGTAGAATGAAATATTAATATTAATTCTGTGAGTAGAATTAAATATTCCGTTCCCATCAGCCTCATTATTTTCTTCTGTTGTGCTGATGTACTTGATATTAAGAAATTATCATTCTGATATTAGTCAGAAAAAAAATAGAGAAATACCCTACAAATATTGTAGTGTTTCCCAGCACACTATCCTGTTTCTAACGATTGTATTTCTTTTTTGCAGGCCCAGTCGGACGACGACGATGTGGCGGACGATGTGTCCGTCAACGTCGGGGCGCCGGATGATTTCATGACGGAATTTTTCGCGGAGGTGAGTGATGAATTAATTTGTTGCAATTTCATTTCCGACGCGACTCTTTCCCAACAATCAAAAGTAGGTTAAACCAGTATCAGCAAAAAAGAGTATATCGTGCCGAGGACAATGCACGGTTCTCTCGCTTCTTTTCAGATAGATATATGTGTAAGTGAATATCGGGATAATACATATATAATAAAGGAGAGGAGCGTCGTCGTTACGCTTATGTATATATGTGCAAAATTTAATAACTCGGACGAACACGGCATTCCTCAAAAATTCCGCGCTGGAATCTTTGCACAGAACTCTCTTATTCTATCGATCGCGCCTCGCGAGAGTTCTTATTTTAAAATGTTTTTACTTATATAGATGTATGTGTATATACGTATGTATATATGTATGGGCACATTTGCTCGAGCAACAAGATGCGGTTTTCTTGTAGCTGTATCGAATCGAGCGTGATACATCTTTTTTCTTTTTTTTTTTTCGGAACGTGGATTTTTGCGATTTGCCTTCGCGATTCTTCTCCGTGTGACTGAAGCGAAATCTCTAACGAATATCGGTACATCGCACGTTAATCATATCGCTTAATCAGCTTACACGGAATTATGGCGGAATTGCAAACACATGCTTTTCACATGCTGAAAAGCGACGCGCCGGATGTTCCGTCATAGACAGAAGCGCGTTATGTTAAATATTTTTCGAGGATGATTGTAAATCGCGATTCATTATTCGAGGATTATCGGATAATCGTCTTTTGGAAAATTAATTAATTTTTGCCTAGCCTTGATATATTAATTCAGCGAACATATCTGTCCTTTACAAAATAAATAAATATATCGCGTATATGTTTTGCGACAAAAACAACAAAAATTCCATCCATTTAACTCATATTTTTAGTTAACATTTTCTCGAGGATTAAGAATAAGGAAACGAACGTGTGATTTTACGCACACAAGCAGGGTCTGATAAAATAAGCCGGTCTTCACTTTTTCTCCCTCTGTCTGATACGTTTCTCTATCTGATACGTTTCTCTATCTGATACGTTATTTCTCTCGCAAAAGCTTGTGATTTATTGTCGTAGATAGGAGGTGTTACTTGGAATGCAGAATAGCTTGTACTACCGTATAAAACGATAGTATCTCATTTTATTTCTCAGATTCTAAAAGAAATAGAGAACGAGAAATCATTTTACGATTTGCAGCGCGTTAAACTATATATTTTATCTTTCAATATCACATTTTAAATTCCGCTCTAATTAACAAACATCTTTATCGGATCTAATTCGAAAAGAATATACATATTTATATATTTTATATTTCTCTTACGTATAGAAATGTAGTCTGTTGATCGTGCCAATATTATAACAAATTCCATGGAAACGTAAGAATGAAAAAGAAAATTCAGATTAAAGAAAAGATTATTCGCAAGATTGTACGAGAGAAATAAGTCACAATGCACTTTCGGTTCATATTTTTGAAGTACATGTCTTTCGTTTCCAGTATTTGTCTCATTTTTATTCATGCGACTTCGTTACGGATAAATATTTGGAAATGCAAAGCAAACGATAACTTTTACAAAATGTAATAATAACAAGATACGCTTTAGATCTTTACATTCCTCAAATGTTTGCACATAGCTATCTATTTTATTCTTAGAAACAATTGCTTTAAGGTCTTATCTTTATTAATCCTTATCTATATTTATTATGTTTATTTCATTAATTTTTCATTTTTCCATTATACAACCTATAACCTTCCTATAGATTATTTATCCGCAATTTTCCCGCAATATCGAATAATTTTCATCGTCGATTCAAGTTTTGCAACATCGGCGGAATGTAACTAATTAAAAGTTATCTCGATATCCGGATTTCGATGATGTATTTCGCGTTAAAGACTATATATATGTTCATGTTCGCTTACGTCGATTACGTCGATTATAGACGAGTGTAAAAGCATCAGATAATTTCGCGTGCGACCACATAATTATCGTGTACAATTTTGCTAGTGACTGGATAATTATTACCGCGAACTCGCGTATTTCTCACGTTGTCGTTTCGCCGACACTCCACGATAGTGTGCGTTTGACGTTTACTAAGAGGCAAGATGAGGGTGGGAAAGGAGGAAAACGGCAGAAAATACAACGCTCGTGAAAATCCTTCAGGCGAGCAGAAAAGAGGATCCGCCGCGGATTTTAACGCGATTTATTCTCGTGGAGACGCTGGCAATCCAAATGCAGATGCGACTCGCGAAGCGAGAACTAAAGTAGCATTATACCGGGTGTTTTGCTCGATAAATGTCATTTACGTGTCAGTTTTGGTGTGTGTTTCGTCTTATGTAAGCGGCAGAATTCGGGAACGCGCTTGAGTCGGATATGTTTTCAACTATATTTAAAATGTTCAAAAAATGTTGAAAAAAATTAGCAAGTATCCCTTGAATATTTTAACAAATTTTAATTTTTTTGACTTTCTGTTACATTTTTAAGCTTTTAATTTAACTTCAAATTAAACTTAAAATTAACTCTAGAAAAAATATATATTAATGTACTCGATATTTCAAAAAACTGAAAGTACATTTGGTTCTCCAAAGAGAAATACAAGTGCTTTGTCAGTAAAAAAAATATATCTATATTTACTAACAAAGTACTTATATTTTCTTTTATAAAACCAAATGTATATTTCAATTTCATAAAATATCAAGTATGGAATGATTCAAGACTTTGTAAGATAACGAAACTCGGTAGATGATCCCTGGGGATATTTGCAGTTGAGTTCTATGTGAACAGAGGTTCTATTCAGCTCTCCGTTACGGAACTGCAAGAATGAATTGCTTTGAGAGATGCTAATTTTACCTACATTTGTTATATTAAATATCGTCATTATACTTGCAAACCACTTGCCACAATTGTGTTGTATTATTGTAATTTGTTGTTCTAGCTTGCCATTTTGCATCGTGTATTTATCGGAAACGTATACGCAGATAAATCGTTCATTTATTTTACTTCTAACAAAACTGGATATTAAAACCCACGCGTTTATACACACACTTTTATTCTTATTCGAATCTGTTGTTATCAAAATCCGTTGTTGTATAAGATTGATTTCTATATACAATTTTATTTGCATATATGTAAATCGCATTTATCAGTTCATATTTTTCTACAAGAAAAATCTTTTAAGTCCTTTAAAATAAAAAGTTAGGGATTTACGTGCTTTTAAAGGACAAATATAAAAATCGATATAAAAATCGAGCACGTGTCGGTCGTTAAATATGAAAAACGCGCGTCTGTTAATTGCGAAACATTCGCATTAAAATTTGTCGGAACGACCATTATACGCAACTAAATAATTCGTGAGTTACATCGGCACTTAACAGTCACCATGTATTTATATTTACATCGGCTAATAAAGCGTCGACGCACGGCCGTAAAAATTGCATCGGCGATGCAATTTTTATCTCGTGACAACACATACGAATATCGCGGAATTTTCTCTCCTGCGCTGTCACGACATTTTTCTAGCGGGTCGAGAGAGAATCTTGGCGGAGAAAAGAGAGTTCCTATGTAAATGGACGATCGTAACAGAGAAAAGCTCGCTCGCGCCAAATAGGATTGATTTTTACCGCGTTTCGTTTCGTCATTTCGCTCCGTTTTATCACGCATCTTTATTTCCTCGCTGTTTTTCCACGAGCACCCTGTCCAATATAAAAATTCCCTTATTATTTTTCCGTTATTGCGCGTGACTTTCTTATTGTTATAATATTATACTATTTTTATATCATTATTTTCTTCCCCAATGTTTGTTTTGTCTATCGGGATGATAAATGAATTTCAAATTGAAGTTTCGCAAGCTCATGAGACTATCATGAGAATTTCATCATGCAGTATATTATGTCGATGAAGTTTACAACACTTCGCTAACAAGGGCAATACACGAAGAAAGTAATATTCGTGTTAATAACAAAAATAATAATTAAATGTGCACTTGTAACACGTAACACACATTTTTCAGATTTAATTTCTTCACAAAAATTTGAATCAATATTTTTAATTGAGAGAGAGCAACGTGTTATATAATGTTAAATATTTATTTTTAATATAATTTAACTAATAACTCGATATTCTTGAAAAAAGTACGTCTTTTGTCACATGATAGATAAATTGTATTGTTTCAAACGCAGAATAAAATATGTATAAAATTCCGCCAGCGATATAAAATATTTTAATAATAAAATTTTTAATAAAAAGTGTTTATAAAATCTTTATGTCAACATTTGTAAACACGGTAAAAAAAAAAAAAAACTAAAACAGTAAACGTGGAAAAAAAATATTAGCCGTAGCTAAATTTTAGATGTCCCTATTACGCCTGAAAAATTTAATTACCATGCTGTATAGAGACACAAATTTAAAATTTAACTGTGCTGGTTAATATTTTTTTCCATGAATGCCATGGCAACTTGATGATATCAATTTAATTAAGATACATCAAGCGTGCTGTAAAAAAAAAATCAATGTAGATTATAATCGCTGAACTGACGATGACGTAAGTCCCTTTAAAAGTGAAACGTCGCGCGTGCTCCGTAATTATACGTGTACGCGCGACTAAATTTGAATTTTTACTACATCATTATTAGATATATATGAGCGAAATTGACTCAAGACCCCGTGTAGCACCGACTCATGCGGGCAAAAGGAGCGAAACACGAAGTTGTAATTTCTGTCGATACAAAATTCATTCGCGCGTATAATCGCGCGCGCAAGCTTATTCTCGTCATCTTTGCGAACGTTAATATTCCTCCTTCGATTTTCGCCAACTTTACTCCTCTGAGTTTCGAGGCAAAACTTACGCATAGGAACGAGTCGCGCAAAACGAACTTCCGGAATCTTCTCTAGACAGAAGGAGGATAATTATCTTTTTCGCTGGTAAGGCGGCATACGCTCGGAAATTCTGATCTAGAAGCAGAGGAAAACGTGTTTCGAATAATATTGAATAATTTCGTATTTATCTTGCGCGTCAACATCATCATTTTGCATGACTGATTCGCAATTATCGATATTTCTTAATGTTTGCTTCTCGAATCTCTTCTCGATTTTTTCAGTGAACAATTTCGTATCTTCAATACGTCCACTGTAATTGTACGTGTAACACAAACTTTCAATGTTGATTATATAATAGATTTGTTAAGTGAAGTAATATTATCAAGCATATGCAATAATTATAATTCATTAATAATTATTATTGATTGATACGACTCGATTTGAAACGTTACTCGTATTTAGCAATTTTGTTAAATATGGAAATAATATTTCTATATTGTAATCAACATGCAATTAGTACACGGAGAGAATTTTCTTTCTCTTTCTGAAAATTATGATAATCGCGAGACAAAAGTATTAATATATACATAATAAATTTTACTATATATATTTTATATTTTATTGTGATAGATTATTAATATTTTTATTGTGGTAAATATTAATCAAAGAAATTTTTCTAAAATATTTCCAATACCATATTGTCCCACGATTATCATGATTTTCAAAGATAAATTCTAAGAGAAAATCTCTCTGTGTAATAATAATGCATTATATATTATTGGTAATATAATATTTTATTGGCAATATAAAATAATATAATACTTTATTGGTTATATAAAAAATAATAATACGCAATACCTATATTAACTCAATATAATATTACATTTACGTAAAATAAAACAAATTTTTTTTTATTTGGAGATTCAAAAATGTAAAAGCAACATTCGCGAAATCTAGATAATGCGGATTGATATGACTCGATGAAACGTTATACTCGTATTTAGCAATTTTATTTAATATGTAAATAATATTTCTATACATGGAATAATTAGTGATAATAATAATAATGCGTTGATACTATTGATAATATAAAAAATAAAAGTACATAATACTAACTCAAAATATATAATATTACGTTTTCATAAAATTTTTAAAATTCTTTCTTGTTTCGAGATTCTTTCAAAAATAAGAGCAACATCCGTGAAATCTAGATGACGCGGAAAAAAGAAGAAGAACTCCGGTCTGAGGGGGTTAACGCGAAATCGATACGTAGACGTGCTGCGCGATGTTATATATACAGTATATCTGGGCTCGTGTTTCGGGGATGATGCCAAAATGTGTCGCCCTGGCAGCCATTAGGCCGCTGTCCTCGTAAGGCGCGCGCGTTCATGTACCTCGTATGTAAACACGTTGCAGTCTATGCACTATGCAGTCGCGGTTAAAAGGGGAAGTAACGGGAGGAACCACGCCAAATGGGCGAGGTACGATGCAACAATCAAAGCGAGACGAGGACTTAAACGGCAGGAAAACTGGGAATTTTACTATTTGTCTGGATTTTTTTACATTATTCTATTTGTCAATAATTGCAATTTTTTATTAAATAAATATAAACTTTTTCTTGACTCCCAGCACGCTAATTTTCTGTGTTGTTAAAAATTGACAAAACTAAAAAATTTGATATAATATAAATAAAAAAGGTGATTATTTAGTTTATAGTGACATGTTTGTTTCGATTATTATAATAATGTAGATTGTATAATTGATTTAAATTTTTGTTTTTTTAACTTCCGAACATTTTCATTGTCGACAAACATATCTCAAGAATTTCATGATTTAACATTTAATTGATTTATCATATAGATATATGCAAATTATATATTTGGTAAAAATAATACTAAAAAGTCAGGGAAGAACTTAATTTCTGATCTTGCAAAAACCTGAAAAGGTCAGGGAATTTTTTTCATTGAGTCTGCTGGACACCCTGGAAGGAGAGACTGTCAGAGACACAAGAGAGAAAAATGGGAAGGAGAGGAGAAAAAGAGAGAGAGAGAGAGAGAGAGTGTATATAGTTACACCATGCAAGGGCTCTTAACGGTCCATACTTTTCTCGATATCGATCACTTATCGTGTTACCGTTATCCTTTGATGACCGGACTCTTTTACGCGACGCAGAACTGCTCCAGGACATCGCTCTTTGTTAAATTTAGAATTGATTTTGCGAGATAAATATCTTTATCGAGTACGAAGCGTTATTCGATTCTTTATCGTTCGATGTCCTCGTTTCATTTTATAAATACAATAATATCGCGAAGAAATACATAGCGTTGAATTGATGCACTGAAAAAAATATTTATGTAAAATTACATGATTGTGCTGAGTGTTTTTCGACCCAGCATAATCATGCAATATTGCGTTACTCATATGGAAAATTACAGATTATATGTAATTTTATATGAAATATATTTTTATATATTTTTAAGATTAAAAATATTCCACTTAATGTGAAATTATACATAGAAAATGCTATAAAATAATGTTATGAGTAAAGTGGATAAATGGTTATAAAATAAAGTTTTAATAAAGTAAAATACTAAATTTAAAATTACATGTGATTTTTGCATAAAAATAATAATTTTATCTATATTTCACACATATTTTTAATATGTATTTTTACTGAAAAAAAATATGGAAACAATTACAGTGATAATTAAGTAATTTTTCCGTTTTAAACAAGTGTAATTTCCATATAAAAGTACATGGATTTTTTTCAGTGCACTTTGAACTGTCTGTGACCCTGCGATTAAAAACCTCATTGAGTTCTTAGAATTGAATTAACTGTTAAAATTACGTCATTTCCCGTAACCTATCTCTCTCTCTCTCTCTCTCTCTCTAGTTCATCGTTCGCTTTCGCTGTTAAGGAGATTAAAGTCAGTCGGAGCTTGAGCGGGACAGTTAACATTTATGGACCGAGTTCTTCGAGTCGGTTATCTCTCTCGAGTTTTCCCCTCGGCGAATTTCGCCGACGAAATTCCAGATTGCCATCGCTGTCGTCATCGACGTCCGACGTCGTTTCGTCGCGTCTCTTCCGAAATGACGGAGGATCCCGATGAGTCAGAGGCGGAATCGAGTCGGAAAGGTCGAAGCTGAAAGAGAGTCGGAGGATATTATATAGCATCCTTTTTCAGCTTATGCGAATCGACGGGATGGGATTTCGTCCGGATTTACGATGATGTGTTGGCGTGTAACGTCATCATGCATAGTTCCGGAACCGGCTTCATCGTCTTATATGTTCGTCATATATTATCCGCCATTCTCTTTCGTCCTGTTAATTAGACCGCGTCTGAGATATGCATACGCGATATAGATATTCGAACGAGAGCTTTTGGAATTTATCGCAAGACCGAGGTTTCTCGCTAAAAATACCTCTTAAAGCTGACAAAGAGCGGAAAAGCTCTTCGCAGCTAGGAAATAGCTCGTAAACTTTGTCGAAACAAATTTTCTACGTTGTTTCGCTTATGCGACGCGCGCGTTAAATCTAAATTGTTAAATAAAGTAAACATAAATAGGTATATGCGAATAAATTAATTATTAATAAATTAATGCATGCAGGATTTGTTTTATTATATATAAAGTACGTATAAAATTATTTTATTGTAGTATATTTAAACAGAAAAATACTTATTTCGATATTAAAATAATAATGCGCGAAACTTGATATTTTATTTTGACTTATTTCGATTAAAAAATAAATTTATTATTATCAAAATTGTTGAACGATACTCGAAAATTATTACAAGCTTATAAATTACCTAAATTTCAATATTTCTATCTCTCACTGAAATTTAGAATGCTCTTTGCAAAAGAGCGAGTACCTATATGCGATCGTCTGACCAAGCGCGGTTTGCATCACTTACGGCGAGCCCCGTTCGTTCTGACCACAATTACGGCTATACTACTTAAGTAGAGTAGTGTATTCGGTATAACGTGTATGTCGACCTCGTCTACTTAAATTGCTTACTTTCATCAGCGATGCAATCGAACGCTTTTTTTCTCGTTATTCTTTTAACGGGGTCATGTTTTTCTACTTATTTAATTTTCTAATGCGAGACGCATCTTTGATACCGATAATTTAATGAGATATTAAACATTTTGATGATATTAGTGTTGTAACTTTTTTCAGATTTTTTGTTTTTTTTTTATTGCACTATGATGACAAAGATATATATTAAGATTCGATAAAAATTACATTTAATTAAAAATTGCGAGATATATTAAAACATTCTTATATTAAAAAAAAATCTCATATCTTTCGATTATGCGCATAATAAAAAAGTAACGTATGTATAAATAATTTTTGAAAGTTATAAATTTCAAAATGAAATAAATTTGAAATATAAATCACTTTTTCCAAATAATTCTTCTGAAATAAATTTGCGAACTCTCGAGCGGACAATATCGAATTTTGAAAACACGAATAAATTTGACAAAGTTCAAGTCAACCATTGACTCTGATATATGCGTTGTTTTTTTCCGCAGGTGGAGGAGATCCGCGAAATGATAGATAGGATCCAGACGAATGTGGAAGATGTGAAGAAAAAGCACAGCGCCATTCTCTCCGCGCCGCAGACCGACGAAAGTGAGTTTAATTTATCATCCTCTATTACTTATCCTTATACTTCTTGCGCATATATATATACAACATTCTCGCGAATGCCGGGAGCAGCGAGCTCTGGGTTTTACATCCCGAGCGGCAAAAAAGCGGGATTCAGTGGTGAAAATGGTCATTTTCGGGAAAATGATTTGTCGTCGTAATTCAACGGTCGATTTGAGGATTAAATCAAACGACAAGCAGCAGCTTGTTCAAATATTAGCGCGTTGTGTACATTAATAATGATGCATTTCTATTTACCCCGCGTGATTATTTATCTCCATCATCTCGTCGTTATTATATATCAGGGTATCTAGCGGTCAAGGAAATTTGAAAAACCGGGCATTGTCAGGGAATTTTAGAAATCTGGAATTGTCAATGAAAAGTGTGGAAATTTTACTATTTATCTGGATTTTTCACATTATTCTACATTTGTCTGAATAACTGGAAATTTTTTATTAAATAAATATAAATTTTTTCTTAACTCATCCTAGCACGCTAATTTTCTGTGTTGTTAAGAATCGTTTGTGTTCGTTAATTTATATTTTTATCGTGTTATTTTATTTCAATATAAATAAAAAAGGTGCTTATTTAAATAGTTTATAGTGTTTGTTTCGATTATCGTACATAATGCAGATTGTATAATTGATTTAAAATTTTGTTTCAACTTCCGAACCTTTTCATCGTCGACAAAAATATCTCAAGGATTTCATGATTTAACATTTAATCGATATTTATCATATAGATATATGCAAATCATATATTTGAAAAAAGTAATATTAAAAAGTCAGGGAAAACTTAATGTCTGGTCTTGGAAAATCTGAAAAAGTCGAGGAATTTTTTTCGTCGAGTCTGCTGGACACCCTGATATATATTTTTCTCTCTCATTTATATTTGACAATTATTTCATCAATGTCTACTCGAGTCCTCCCTCTCGGAGATGTATCGATCGCGTTAGGGCGCGAAGGAGCAAGTGTTTCCGGCTCGGTCATCCGAGATGAATCAACACTTAGTCTCCGGGTTAACCGTTGATCTTCGAGTGCGAAACTTGCCTTCCTCGCGCTAGGAGTCAAATTCAAATTTGCCCACTGTACATAATTCAGGAACTTATCCGTCCTCGCCGGGATCGATTTACTCTACACCGGCGCGTTTTCCAGTCCTATTTCCTTCTTCGCCGTAATACACACTTACATCCCGCTCATCCGGACACGTAGGGTCCTGAATATTTCATTCGACCGCGAACGCATGCGTTACTCGCCAAAAAGCATTTCGCCCGAGCACACATTGCGCCAAAATCCGATATTCCGGAGAGTGACGTTTTATTATTGGAGCACGGTGACGTGGAACGGAATCGTTCGAACTCCAAATATATCGTTGCATTTCGAACACTATGGAGAAATTCGAGATTTATCGAATTTCAGATACGCACATATATACATTGTACATATATCGCGCTCAAAAATGCAAGATTTATTTCTAAATGTCTGATATGTAGCTGAAACAACTTTAATTGATACATTTAACACGATTAATTAACCGCTACTCGATAAATGTATTCAATAACGATTTATATGTATATATATATATAAAAGTTTGAACGAATATGGTAACGATTGATCTGATGAGAAAAGTTGATAAAAAACGGTTTTAATAGCCGTCGAGAAGACTCGAAGCGAAATAATTTCCCCGAAGGTTTGCTCCGAATTTATCCCGCATAATTACTCATTCGCGTATAATTACTCATCGCGAGAAATTATTCGGAGAATTCGACGTATCGGCAGTTTCACGCAAAAGATAATCGAGACTCGATATTCCGATGATCGTCGAATTCAATAGCGGGGGCAATAAATGCAATGCAAAGGGGATCTCGGTTAAGTTTGAAAAGTGGTTGGCGAAGAGGGGTGAGGGTGAAAGGAGTGGGGGGTAGCATGACCAGGGTGGGATAAAAAGGGGTGGAAGAGAGGGAGATGGATATACACTGGTGGTAATCGTCCTTGCCCTGGTTGCCATTGTAGCTGCCGGCCGGGTTGGGTGGGTTGTCATTCCTTACACTTTTATCCCTCTCGCGGCTTCTAACCCTTTGTTGATATGAATCGAATGCCAACATCTGCCGCGGATTAATCGTTAATGGTACTTCCGTGAATTTTGCTCGCTTTACGCCTTCCTGGAAAAAGTCTTAGGGATTACGAAGGTTCTTTTCGTAATTAGATTTCGGATAAGAAGGAAAAAATTGTGGTAAATTGCAAACTTGGAATATCATTTAACTCTGCAATCTACTTTCATTCTATGCAATTTATTTTTTATTATATCATTTTATGAAATTATTATTATAGGAAATATTTTTTTAATATCTCGGTTTTTATATAAAATCTTATATAGAATATTTATAATTATATACGTATATGTAAAATTATTATATAAAATATTATATATATCACATATGACATATAAAAAGGATCATATATCCCGAAAATATTTTTAAAATTTTTTATTGTATAAAATGTTATATAGAATATTTATAATTATATACATATATAAAATATTATATTATATATATATAATATTATATATTTATATAATATTATATATTATATAAGAGTTTTAACAAGGCTCTGTAATATAAATATAAATTTAACGTATAAGACGGGCAACAAGAGCCAAATCGCGGATGACAATGCGTTATCCTAACGAAACTAAATAATTTTTCGTTAGAATTAAATACCGGTGCACAAGGCACCAAATTTTTACTTGGACACGGCCAAGATTTTAAATATGAAATAATCTCATATTTTGAGATTTAATTTCAATACCCCTTTAACCCCCCTACGGAAAATAAATAAATGAATGCAAGAGAAAAATATAGATCCGAAAATCGCTGAATCGGGAATCGAACCCGAGACCTTTCGCTTGCCGGGCGACTGCTCTTCCAGCAGAGCTATTCAGATCCTTTCGATTCTATACTTTTCTCTGTTATATATATTAATGTTGGTAAACAAACGCATTTTTTAAGCCAGCGTGTATCAAATATAAGAGTTTTAACAAGGCTCTGTAATATAAATATAAATTTAACGTATAAGACGGGCAACAAGAGCCAAATCGCGGATGACAATGCGTTATCCTAACGAAACTAAATAATTTTTCGTTAGAATTAAATACCGGTGCACAAGGCACCAAATTTTTACTTGGACACGGCCAAGATTTTAAATATGAAATAATCTCATATTTTGAGATTTAATTTCAATACCCCTTTTAACCCCCCTACGGAAAATAAATAAATGAATGCAAGAGAAAAATATAGATCCGAAAATCGCTGAATCGGGAATCGAACCCGAGACCTTTCGCTTGCCGGGCGACTGCTCTTCCAGCTGGAAGAGCAGTCGCCCGGCAAGCGAAAGGTCTCGGGTTCGATTCCCGATTCAGCGATTTTCGGATCTATATTTTTCTCTTGCATTCATTTATTTATTTTCCGTAGGGGGGTTAAAAGGGGTATTGAAATTAAATCTCAAAATATGAGATTATTTCATATTTAAAATCTTGGCCGTGTCCAAGTAAAAATTTGGTGCCTTGTGCACCGGTATTTAATTCTAACGAAAAATTATTTAGTTTCGTTAGGATAACGCATTGTCATCCGCGATTTGGCTCTTGTTGCCCGTCTTATACGTTAAATTTATATTTATATTACAGAGCCTTGTTAAAACTCTTATATTTGATACACGCTGGCTTAAAAAATGCGTTTGTTTACCAACATTAATATATATAACAGAGAAAAGTATAGAATCGAAAGGATCTGAATAGCTCTGCTGGAAGAGCAGTCGCCCGGCAAGCGAAAGGTCTCGGGTTCGATTCCCGATTCAGCGATTTTCGGATCTATATTTTTCTCTTGCATTCATTTATTTATTTTCCGTAGGGGGGTTAAAAGGGGTATTGAAATTAAATCTCAAAATATGAGATTATTTCATATTTAAAATCTTGGCCGTGTCCAAGTAAAAATTTGGTGCCTTGTGCACCGGTATTTAATTCTAACGAAAAATTATTTAGTTTCGTTAGGATAACGCATTGTCATCCGCGATTTGGCTCTTGTTGCCCGTCTTATACGTTAAAATTATATATTATATATTTATATATAATAAATTATATATTTATATAATATTATATATATATATAATATTATATATTTATATAATATTATATATAATATATATAATATATATATTACATATGACATATGAAAAAGATCGTATATCCCGAAAATAATACATTTGTAATTGCAAAATTCTGACATCGAGTTAAAAGGAAGTAACATCGAGATATACACGATGTAGGAAATTTATATTTCGCGTGCTGATTCGAATAGAAATCCGGACAAATGACGTAAACGCAATGCTATTCCTATCTAGAGCTTGTCGATAATTACGAGCAAGTAGATTAACCTACTGCAACCGAAGGATTAAGTATAATATCCCGGTTCGAGAGATCAATGGCCGTTAATTACTAATTAATACCATGACTTTGCGCATGAAAATTTCGCGCGGTGATTCAGTAACCCACGGCTTTCAATTATTACACCACGCATAATCTTACCCCCGTCAATGTAATACGTCTATACGCCGTATCGGTTTATTCTCATAATAGTAGGACGCGTATTTCCGTAGCTATATCTCTGTCACTCGCGGTGACTCTTTTCAGCTTCGCTCTTCTGCCTGACTGCGAGAAGTTTTGACGGCGAGGCAGCTAAGCCCTAGATACGTCAAAGAGGCTTCTCCCCCGTTCGTTCGCATGTATGTACGGGTATACCTGTATAAATATATATACACACCTGTCTCCGGACACTTGGGTTTTATTGCAGCTTTTCGCAACGCGAGACTTAAGTCGGGTATTTAAACGAAACAGCGGTTGGAAGATAAAAATTTCGACGTTTAGATAGGATGCGCGAAAGAAATTACGTCGGATAATTTCCTCGCATATTATGCACGGAAATGCCGTCAATT